CCTGACTCTTCCTCTGAGTTGCTCTCTAGATGTACGAACTGGTTTGTCTATTGGGTATTTCATTCGGCACACACTAAAACAAAATTCTTGGGTCTCCCCACCAGACTTGTTTACTTGAACAGCAAACAGGCCTACCAAGTATCAGACAGTGATCTAACTGTTTACAAATATTAACTCCCTGAACCCTTAGTACCTATGAGATAGGTAGTAATATGATCTCATTTCGCAGATGCAGGGGACCTAGACTTCCATTCAAGCAACTGTAACCCAGAGCCCACGGGCTTGGCCATATGCTACATGCCCATTGCTGCAAACAGTGCCCATGCTCAACCAGCTGCCCATGTCAAAGGCCTGACAGTCACATTTGATCCCTCTACTTCCCTCATCTCTCAGCCCCAAACCACTGGGAAGTCCCTTTGGTCTGACCTCCAACCCTGTCCCCTCTCTGTTCCTCACTAGCTTCACTGAACTGGATTACTAGAATAGTCTCAGAATTGATTTTCCAGTCTCCACTCCTGCCTCTCCACAATTTGTATAACACAAAGTTACCAGAGTGATTTTTTTTTTAAAAGGTGAATCAGAACAGATCATTTGCAGCTTCAAATCCTCCAGTGGCGTCTGAGCCCTTGCAATAAGGTCCCCCCTCCCACGGTCTTGGAGGCCCCCAAGATTCCCACCTCCCCTCTCACACCACCATGCTTCCTTTGGGCTCCTGACATCTGCAAAACTGTTTCTTGCCCCAAGGTCTTTGCAGCAACTTTTGCCTCAACTCCATAGCTCTCCCCTACATAATCACAAGACTAGATTCTTCTAGTCATTCAGGTATTAGCTCAGAGCAACCTCTCAGGACAGGGCATCCCTGACCGGGACTCCATCACAGTGACTCTGCGCTCTCCTCTAGCCCATCGCTTGCTCAGTGCTGTTTTCATCACAGTACTTCCTGACAGCATCTCCTGTGCTTGCTTTGTTGCTGGTTTCATGCTCTTTTCCATTTCAGCACTCTAAGAAGGTCAGAACGCTGTCTATCTTGTTGAACCCTACATCCCAAGAGCTGAGATTAGCTCCTGGATAATAATGACTAATAGTAGGCACACGTTAAGACATGTTGGGTAAATGAACTGTCACGACCCCTTTAATGGCTTTCTAGTGCCTGTGGAATAAGAATAACTCTATTAACAGATACCACAAAGCCCCGTGCAACCCCCTGCCATTTCTCCCTGCTGTCTCAACAACACTATTAACCAGACTGCTTTCTCCGGGGGAGAGGGAACCTTCTCTCCTGGCCATCACCAGGCTGTGCTTCCCCCAGGAGGCTCCTCCTGCCCCTCCTGGACTGATTAATTTCCTACTCACCCTTCAGAGCTCAGCTGAAGCGTCCACCTTGCCTTGAAAAACCTTCCCTGAGTCCTCAGGAAAGGCTCAATCTCCTGCTCCATACATCCCCATAACACTATTTTCCTTCACCTTGCTTCTCATACTTACTATCTTACTGGTTATCTGGAATCACTTGTAAAATAAACAAACACAAAAACCAAACACAACAACTCTGTTTCCCTGATAGTCTTTCAACTCCATAATCCTAGGGAATACATCGATTCATTCAACAAAAAGCTCGATACTAAGTATACCGACCGGCTATAAAACCAATTTGTTTTCCAAACATGAGAAAATCAGAGACTATATATTCTCCAGTGTGGGAAGAGGCTACCCACCCTCCTTGAACTTGCTCGCTCTAATTCCATGTCTCAGAATGACTGTGAATCAATCGCCATCCTGCCCCCATCAGAACTAGGGCAAACTTGACGTACGCTGTGCCCAGATATCCGCTGCTCTGTCCCTCCCTTCGGCAACAGAATGACTGGAGTTGTCCTGTCCTCTGTGAGGTTAGCTCACCCTCCAGTGTGGTTAGGGAGACCAACCAGAAAGATCCTGCCTGGGTCTTAAACCTCAGAAGGAAGTTCAGATCAGTGTGACAAGAGGGCCCCAGAATCAGGAAAATGGAGATTGTTCAGGCTCACACTCTGTCAGGGTCATTAACTGGTATAGCGCCAATGAGGTGCAAAGAATGGAAGTCAAAACCACTGACAGAGAAGCTCATTAAATGTACGGCCTACAATCCAGCTATCCTTTACAGAAGACTGTTCATACACTGTTGTAATATATATATTTAAATTGCTAAACACCAATATGTAGTCTTTTATCTTCTTCCATAATTGTCACCATTGGGTTGGGGAAGGTTTGCCTCTGGAAGTAACCTGATGGGCTCCCTGGCCCCACCCTGCCCTACTCTGGGCTGTGCTCTGATGCTGTCAGGATGAGCTCTCAGGGTGCATGAGCATAGGAATAGATACTATGCTGTGATTGGGGACAAGAACATTCTCCTTCACATAAACTAGGGGAAGCAAAGTAGAGAGTCAGGTTCCTCTTAGATGGAACTCTTCATACAAAGCACACTTGCACTAAGGTCTTAGGTCTTAGTTTTCAGTAACCAGCAGACAAGGATGGCCCCCAGCAAAACTGAAGCATCTGCTGTCCATCACTCGTACCTTTTCCTACTGTTGGGCCTATCCCTGTCCAGGAGAAAAGTACCTGCAAAGAGAAAAATGGATTCCCACTAAAATAATAGGAATGTATTATCTTAAGCATCCAATGGATGGCACTAGGGAAGAAAATGCATAACACAAAGACACAAATTTGGAGCTAACATCAGAGATAGGGATAAGAACTGCCTCCACCAGCCTCACCCCTCCAACTCACAAAAAGAAGAAAAATTACATCATGACGTGGGCACTTTCTTCTCTTTGATTCAAGAACACCTGGCAAGCAAAATATTTTAAATCATTAGAAAAGCACCACAGCAGTTGAATATTTCATGTAGTTTTATTTTTTTTATTTTTTATTTAAAAAAAATTTTTTTTAATGTTTTTTATTTACTTCTAGGAGAGAGAAAGAGAGACAGCGTGAGCAGGGGAGGGTCAGAGAGAGAGGGAGTCACAGACTGAAACAGGCTCCAGGCTCTGAGCTGGCAGTCAGCACAGAGCCCGACGCGGGGCCCGAACCCACGAACCACGAGATCATGACCTAAGCGAAAGTCGGACGCTTAACCGACTAAGCCACCCAGGCGCCCCTATTTCATGTAGTTTTAAAAGTGATCCAATAAAAGTATGACTGTAGAATACCCAAATTATTCTGGATCTTGCCTAATATAAGACAAAAAGATAATGGAAAAGACAAAAACATTTTTGGTGGTCTGAGTGGCAGGGAAAACCCAGTTCTCCTGTGTGTCTCCTTTGCTCTCACATGACTACCATACTCACAACACATCTGACACCATATGCACAGTTTTTCCCTCACCAAGCAATTCTGTGACACGAGCTGGGTGTTCTAAAATTTAACACATTACCTACCCGGAGATGGTGTCAGATCCCACAGGTTAAGGGCTCAGTGTCACAAGACTGCTTTCTCACCCCCCCTTCAGATGCCAACCCAAGTCCAGGATATCACCTGTGTGCTTGTGATGGATGGGCTATAAATTGGAGGTTCCCATGACCTCAAGTTTGATTAATTTGCTAGAGTGGCTTACAGAATTTAGGAAAACAGTTTACCTACTAGATTACTGGTTTATTATACAAAGATATGGGGGTGCCTGGGTGGCTCAGTCGGTTGAGCGTCTGACTTGATTTCAGCTCAGGTCATGATCTCACGGTGAGATCGGGCCCCAAGTCAGAGCCTGCTTGGGATTCTCTCTCTCTCTCTCTCTCTCTCTCTCTCTCTCTCTCTCTCTCTCTCTCCCTGCCCCTCCCCCACTTGTGCTCTCTCAAAATAAACTTAAAAAAGAAGAGGATATGATAAAGGATATAGACAGCCTTTATCTATAAAGCGGGGGTTTGCGGGGGTGTATGTGGCTTCCATGCTGCCTCCTGGTGCACCCCTTCCAGCCCCTCCATGTGTTCACCAACCCAGAAACTCTCTGGATGCCATGTTTTGGGGATGTTTATGGTGGCTACATCATACAGTCATTAACTCCATTTCTAGTCTCCTCTTCCCTCTCTGGAGGATAGCATATACTGTTGCAAGTCCAAACCTCTAATTATGGCTTGGTCTTCTAGTGACCAACCCCCATCCCAGAGTCACCAAGAGTCCCCTCGTTAGAACAAAGGATACTGCTACCACCATGGAAATTCCAAGGGATTTAGGGACTCTGTCAGGAACCAGGGACAGAAAGCAATATATATACACACACATATATTTTTTTTCTATTATCCCACATGGGCTTAGCCCTCTAAATTTTCCCTAGAGTTGGTAGGGATGAAAAGCACATCCCTAAAATATAAGAAGTACAAGCTTTTTTTTTAAATTAATGGACAACAAGTCTGTTCTAAAACTGCCAACCATTTGTTACAGAAACTCAAAATCTGTAGTGAAAGCCAAGTGTTCTGGGGAAAAGTCACCTGTCCACTTAGAATTTTTTGAGAAAACATAAGAAAAAATATATATTTAACAAATGTTTAAAATATATATAATATAGAGAAAAATACAAACCCATAAAAGCTGTCTGTGTAAAAACGGTGTTTGGTGAGCAGTTTAATTTCATGAAGCTAACTTTATAGTCTGCATCGTGCAACATATTTAATGATTATTCATATTTATTTTACTTCTAGAAAAAAAACTTTTCCTAGTCATAAGTACCAAATCAGTCATATAGGAAAAAAACAAAACAAAACAGAAGAAATAAGAGACAGCAAGCAAAGCGACTTCTTAAAAATTCTGTTGAGGGGCATCTGGGTGGCTCAGCTGGTTGAGCGTGGACTTTGGCTCGGGTCATAATCTCTTGGCTCTGGGTTCAAGCCCCGTGTCAGGCTCTGTGCTGACAGCTCAGAACCTAGAGCCTGCTTTGGATTCTGTGTCTCCCTCTCCTTCTCCCACTCATGCTCTGACTCTCTCTCTCAAGGGCAAATAAACATTAAAAATTAAAAAACAAATTCCGTTGATATACTTACGCAGTAGAGGTCTGCATGTCATGCCAGCTTTTGCTGAAATTCTGTTTTAATTCATTCATCAGGTTCATGCCCAGCTTTTGTTTTATTTCAACCAGATGCCTTTCTTTTGCTGATAAAACTTGCCGTAATGTGGTGATTTCGTCTTCTAGCTACAGGTAACAGGGAAAGTGGTGTGGAAAGATGTGAGACCAGCTGATACATACATGCACAAGCTCCCGATGCTCTAGAACGACCCTCGGCACCCTCTTGTTACCAGGCCCACGCTTGCCTGTACCAAACACATCTTGTAGGGATGACAGTTTGAAATCTTAAAATAGAAATAGACTTTTTTCATTTTATTGATTATAAAAGTTGTAAAAAACTCATTCGTACAACAAAAGATAAACAAGAAAATAAAAATTACCTGTCATCCACTAGGAAATAGTTGCCACTTAGTAGGTTGGTTTCTAATCTTCCAAATGTTTTTTTTTAATATTGTGTATGCATATAATTTTTGAGCAAAAAAATAACTGGCTTTGTACTGTATGCTTTTTTCTTATAAGTAACATCTTTTTAACTGTCACTCATCAGTATTGTGTTTGGTTTTTGCCAATCATACATAGCTGCATTGGTGCAGGCATAGACTAGACAGACATTATGGTTTGGCCAAACTAATGCCCCAGAAAGGGAGGAACAAGGGAGGAGAGGATGTATGTAAGAGAGTGACTTGTGTTGCTTTTTCTTTATTTTTTTAAGATAATCTTAGTCTTTTATTTTTTTAATTTTTATTTAAATTCTAGTTAGTTACATATAGTGCAGCATTGGCTTCAGGAGTAGAATTCAGTGATTCACCATTTATGTACAACATCCCGTGCTCATAACAAGTGCCTCTTCAATACCCATCACCCATCTAGCCCATCCCCCATCACCTCCCTCCATCAACTCTGTTTGTTCTCTATCATTAAGAGTCTCTTATGGTTTGTTTCCCTCTTTCTTTTCTCCTCTTCCCATATATTCATTTGTTTTGTTTGTTAAATTTCACATATGAGTGAAGTCATACGGTATTTGACTTTCTCTGACTGACTTATTTCGCTCAGCATAATACATTCTAGTTCTGTTCATGTCATTGCAAATGGCAAGATTTCATTCTTTTTGATCCCCAAGTAATATTCCATTGTGTGTGTGTGTGTGTGTGTGTGTGTGTGTGTGTGTACATACATACATACATATACCACATCTTCTTTACCCATTCATTAGTTGATGGACATTTGGGCTCTTTCCAGAGTTTGGCTATTGTTGATAATGCTCCTATAAACATCAGGGTGCATGTTCCTCTTTGAGTCTGTACTTTTGTATCGTTTGGGTAAATACCTAGTAGTGCAATTGCTGGATTGTAAGGTAGTTCTATTTTTAACTTTCTGAGGAAACTCCATACTGTTTTCCAGAGTGGCTGCATTCCCACTGATAGAGCAAAAGGGTCTGTGGATGCAGACCATAGACTGCATCCTCACCAATACCTGTTGCTTCTTATGTTGCTAGTAATTTTAGCCATTCTGACAGGTGTGAGGTGGTACCTCATCATGGTTTTGATTTGTATTTCCCTGATGATGAGTGATGTTGAGCATCTTTTCATATGTCTCTTAGCCAACTGGATGTCTTTGGAAAAGTGTCTGTTCATGTCTTCTGCCCATTTCTTAACTGGAGTATTTGTTTTTTTGGGTGTTGAGTTTGATAAGTTCTTTAGAGATTTTGGTTACTAACCCTTTATCAGATATGTCATTTGCAAAATGTTCTCCCATTCTGTAGGCTGCCTTTTAGCTTTGTTGACTGTTTCCTTCACTGTGCAGAAGCATTTTATCTTGATGAGGTCCCAATAATCCATATTTGCTTTTATTTCCCTTGTATCCAATGACATGTCTAGTAAGAAGTTGCTGCAGCCAAGATCAAAGAGGTTGCTGCCTGTATTCTCCCCTAGGATTGTGATGGCTTCCTGTCTAATATTTTGATGGTTTCCTGTCTTTCATCCATTTTGAATTTATTTTTGTGTATGGTGTAAGAAAGTGATCCAGTTTCATTCTTCTGCATGTCCATGTCCAATTTTCTCAACACTATTTGTTGAAGAGACAGTCTTTCTTCCATTGGATATTCTTTCCTGTTTTGTCAAAGATTAATTCACCATACAGTTGTAGGTCCACTTCTGGGTTCTCTATTCCGTACCATCAATCTATGTGTCTGTTTTTGTGCCAGTACCATGCTGTCTTGATGACTATGGTTTTGTAATATAGCTTAAAGTTTGGAATTTCGATGCCTCTAGCTTTGCTTTTATTTTTCAGGACTGCTTTGGCTATTCTGGGTCTTTGGTGGTTCCATACATATTTCAGAACTGTTTGTCCTAGCTCTATGAAAAATGTTGGTGGTATTTTGTTAGGGATTGCATTAAATGCATAGATTGCTTTGGGTAGTATAGACATTTTAACAATGTTTGTGCTGCTTTTTCTTACTCACAATCCACTGACATGTAATTGATGTACAATAAACCATGCATCTGTAAGTTTTGACATGTGTGTGACTTCTGTGAACATATCCATCAACACCAAAAGTTTTCTAGGTCTTCTTTGTAATTCCTCCCTCCTTCTTTTTCCTACTCTTACAGGCAGCCACCAATCTTTCTTTTACTCCACAGTACATACTAATTTTGGCTTTGTTCTCTCAGTCTATTATTTGAGATTTTTGAGATTCATCCATGTTACTGCATTATCAATGGTTCTGTTTTTACTGAAGAGTAGTATTTTATTATATGGATATACCACAGTTTGCTATTTATTCATCTGGTGAAGGATATTTGGGTTTGGCCAATGCAAATAAAGCTGCTATGAACATTCATGTGCATGTTTCCTCTTTCCCTGGCATTCGCAGAAAAGCAAATCTGTTCAGCATCATAAAATATCTCTTCTAACACAATGTAAAACAGCATAGAGATCCTTCAAAAAATTAAAAATAGAACTACCATAAGATCCAGCAATTTTACACCTGGATATTCATCCAAAGAAAATGAAAACATTAACTTAAAAAGATGCATACTCATTGCAGCATTATTTACAATAGCCAAGATATGGAAACAGGCTAAGTGTCCACTGATGGATGAGTGGGTAAAGAAAATGTTACTGTCACACACACACACACACACACACACACACACACACACACACCCCACACACAGAGGAATATTATTCAGCCATAAAAAAAGAAAGAAGGAAAGGGGTGCCTGGGTGGCTCAGTTGGTTAAGTGTCCTGCTCTTGATTTTGGCTCAGGTCATGATCTCATGGTATGGGAGATGGAGTCTGCTCTGTCAGCACAAAGCCTATTTGGGATTTTCTCTCTCCCTCTCTCCTTGCCCCACCCCTGCACATGCTCTGCTCTCTCAAAATAAATAAATAAACTTAAAAAAAAGAAGGAAATGTTGCCATTTGTGTCATGGATGGACCTTGAGGGCATTATGCTAAGTGAAATATATCAGACAGAAAAAGATAAATACCATACCATATGATCTCATTTATATGTGGAATCTAAAAAAACAAAGAAAAAACAAGCTCATTGATATAGTAAAGAGACTGGCAGTTGCCAGAGGTTGGGGGTGGGTGAAATGGGTGAAGAAATTCAAACGGTACAAACTTACAGTTTTAAAATAAGTAAGTCACATACAAAAAATCTGTTCTCGCAAATGTAATTTCTAACAAAGCAGTTCTGTAAAATGCCCAGATTTTCTACAGCGTTGCTATCACCTGTGAAAATCAACTTGAAACCCCACAAAGTCTTTGATTCCAATTGTCGTATTTTATTCTATGTCATATTTTATAATATATTGCTTTGGTAATACTGCTTCATTTTACATCATTGTTTTCTGAAAAGTATAAGTAATTGTGTGACTTTCTTTGTGAAGCCAGAAGAGAACTATTAGTACTCCCTTAGTGTCCCACATATATAGAGGTCCTAAAAAGCCTGAGATTTTTTACTAGATTTCTTATTTTTAAAAAATGTGGCAGCTGTGTCTCATTTACATTCAAAGTATACTTCCGCTTCTGACCACAGACCACATCACTGACACGATCAGTCATCTTGCAAATGTGTTCCTTGAGTTACCAAAGACATAGCTGCTAGAAAAGAATCTCAAGAAAGAAAAGTACCTTTGCAAATATTAGTTTTTTACTAGTGCAAGAAAGGTTTTACCCCAACGGTGGACAGATCGGAATAGCGTTGTGAAGTTTCATAGACACAAGTAATCACTTGAGCAAAACAGGCAAAATTCTAAGTCGGAAACATCTTAAATACAACAGTAGAAAAGAACAATCTCTTGGAGTTTTTAACATCAGCAAATGCCCTAGGAATCCAGTACTATTCATTTCTTTATGTTTATGGAATAGTTTTGTAATGCTCATGGAAATCTTTCTAAAGTGAATTACACATTCCATAACATGTTATAATCAATAGCAGGTCTTCAGTATGCAGACATAATACTCATTACAGCAAAAGGAGTCTCTACTTGGGGACCACAAAATGGGGTCACGTGTTTAGTCTTCCCATTAAATGAGAACACGTGGCTATTTTAAAATTAAACCCTCTATTCTTTTGCTTATCATGTCATATTTTACTTTTTCATCTTTGTCAATGTGTCCTCCTGCATTTAATCCGTGGCCTAATATTTCTCAGGGCTGTATCTCTATCTAGCTCTCTTTCCATAGAAAATGGTTGGCCTCATGTCAGCCTTTTATTCTGTTAAAAGACCTGCTTTCTTTTGCATAAATAATATGTTTTGAGTGGCTGAGATTATTGGGAGACTCGTGCTTTTTTTTTTTTTTTTTTTTTTTGATGCGTTGGGTATTACCATAGCTTCTACTATGTTATAAAAATAATGGTGCAATTTCTAACTGGAAGAATGAAATGACACATGTAGAGAAACTTCATATCTATGGGACCCTAGAAATTTATTCAAAATTGGGGGGAAGGGCAGTAGGAGACTCCTTAGTTATTAGGGAGAGGGACATAAGGGATTCATAGTTTTCAAATGAAACCCTTGATCCCAAAACAGTGATAGGGAGAAATGCTGAAGTGACCAATTTACCAAGCACCAACCTAAAGAAGGAACAATGAAGTCCCATGCCTAATATCTTA